AAAGTCAGAGCCAGATTAGAGTGTGGAAGTCTTTTAATTTCAAGCTGAATAGTTTATATTTTATCCTAGAAGAAACAGAAAGCCACCGATGATTTTTAAACAGAAAGATGACTTGTGCCATAGGAAGATTGTTTTTGGCAGCTATATAGGGGAATGGATTGGAGAGAGGAGAGCCTAGAAGCAGGGAGATGAATTAAGAGGCTGTTAGTAATCCAAATCAGAGTTAATGAAGTATAGGATAGTAAACCATTTAAGTGGAGAGATGGTAATAGATTTGAAAAATGTGGTAGTAGTAGAATTGCCAAAACTTAACAACTGGTTGGATATGGGATGTGGAGGAAAAGGAAGAGTCAAGGATCATTTCGAGTTTTTGAACCTGGGGTGGTGGGAGCCTCAGCAGAGACAGGGAAGTTTGAAGGAAGGGCAGTCTTGAGGGGAAGAAAAGTTCCATTTAAACTGTTTAGTTTGAGATTATGGTAGGATAGCTAAATGGAGATCTCTTTAAGGCAGTTGGATTGAGGAAAAAGATTAAAGGTGAGACAAAGATTTGAGAGTCACTTGTGTAGAGACTAGAGTTGAACTGATTTGATTACCAATGAAGAGAGTGTAGAGAGAGAAGGAGGCTCAAGGCAGAACCTTGGACACCAATTCATAAGAGGTGGGAGATGGATGAACCAGCAAAGCAGAATAAAGAGGAGCAGTCATCTTGATTGATGCTTTGCCTTCTGTCTCCGTTAATAGGGCAGTGCTGGACACGTAATAAGCATTTGGCAAATGACTTTTGAATGTCCATCATTTTTCATTGATGGTTAAGCGCAGTTTTGTAGGGTATATTGCCTTGTGTTGCATCTTGAGTTCCTTTGCTCTTGAGAAGCCATTATTCTAGTCCCTTCTTGAGTTTCTGGTGGGTGCAGAATAATGTTGTGTTATTTGAATTTCCTTAATATTTGAATGCCTACCTTCTGATCACTTGCAAAATATTGTTGTTTGTTAAATTTAATATGTGCATTTTGGAGTTTGCAACATAGGACTTTTTAGCTAGACACAGTCTGTGGGTTCTTCCAGTTAGCATTTTGTTTTCTGTGCTCAGAAGCTCTAGCTAGTTTTCTTTCATTATTTCTTGCATTTATGGTATTCAGGTTTTTTGACTTGTCATGTTCTTTTAGACCTTTAATCCTTAAGTTGCCTCTATGCATCTTGTGTTCAAGGTTGTTGTTTTACTTGTATAGAAATCATATTTTCTTTTAATGAAACTGCTTTTTGCTTTCTTCAGATTGTCCTTGTCTCTGTACTTACATTTCTTTTGTTTGATTTAATATTTTGTTTTTTCCCAATTACATTGTGTTTGCATTTCTAATCGGCTATTCTGTCTTGTTTTTTGGTGAGATTTACCATTGTGGATTTAAGTTTTTCTAATCTGCCAATTATTTCTGTTGCATAGCCCATCATTTCTGCTTTTGTGATTTTTATTTCCCACTTGAACTATTTAGGAACATCCTGCTATGGTTCCACACTCTCTTGAGAATCTACAGGGAACTCTGCCTCATCAGTTGTAGCCTTTTTTCCCTTATATTCTAATACTGCTTGCTCGCTTTCTCACTCCTTCTCCTGTGATGGTGGTTTTCCCAGAGATTAGACTTCAAAGCTAACTCAGCCTATTCCCATGCTGAGCAATTCACTTTTCACTGGCTTCCATCTCTACTCCAAGTAAGTTCTCTGGGGACGGAACTGGCCACTACCTAGAGACCCGTCTTATTTCCCTTCAGACCTGACAGAGCCTCCCACAGACGCTGCAGGTCCCTCAGCTCCTCACTTCTTTGTCTGGGTGTTTGTGTTGCCACACTGCAGTTCAAGCAGAGCATTCGGGTGGAGAGAGACAGTTCAGTTTAGAGAGTGGGAATCGTACTTCTCTGATGTAAGTTCAACAGGTTGTCACCTTGTTAAGAGTCTTAGTGTCTTCGACTGTGGAGACAGCAGACTTGCTTTATGTTTTTCACATAATTCCTACTTTGGAGAGGTTTGAGAAGCGAGAATTGGGGAAAATGTCTAATCCTCGATCCCAGAAGTCACATGACTTTTAAGAGAAGTGAATACTGGGCAATTTCCCTGAACTATTCACTAAAGCATACTGTTCAAGCCTTTTACTTCATCCTATTCCTCTGAAATAAGATAATTTTATCTTCCATCTCAGTTAGCTTGTCTTCATGTATTTTCTCAGTCTCATCATTTTTTTTATTTTGTTGAGTTTTTCTTCTTCCTCTTTGTTTTTGTGTTCTAAATCTGTCCTTTTATTTTTCCTGCCATCCAGTTTTGAAGATTTTTCTGTTGTATGTTCTAAATGCCCTACTCTCCTGTTTGTCTTATTAATTTCTTGGAGAGTTCTACCTTCAGTACTATGTTTTACCTTTATTTCTCTTAATTCTGCTGTTCTTTTTAGCTGTTCTGAAGATTGTTGCAGCTGCTATATTCTATTTTCTGGAAGAATATATTCTAGAAGTTTACCTTTCAAGCCTTTCTAAGATGGTTTTCTTTCTCCATAGAATGTGTTAAGTGTCTTGGCTCCCTTTCTTTCATGTTTGCTTGGCTTTTTTCCCTTTCTTTTTCTTTTGCTCAATCTTTATTGGCTTTACTATGATGCTCTTATATTTAGCCTTCTTATTTATCACCAATCCGCTTCTCTTTTATGTTAGAGATGTTTATAACAGACCTAAAATTGTTGGTTCTTCCTCCTTCTCTGGCAAAATTTACTTTTGTGGAGGGTATGGGCTCCGGAGTGCTTAGGGAGTGTTAAGCTAAGCTCTGAGATGTTAACAGGTTAACTGTACCATTAACAGCACTCAGTTCCTGGCTGGGGACCCAGCCATGGAGGAAGGCTTTTCCTGTCCTTAAGAGGCCATTAGGGAGGAGAGAGAGGCAGGTGCTGTGAATGGACTTACTCATTTAGGGTATATCACTTCACCTCAGGAACTCAAGGCAAAGGCAGACAATGAGTGCCATAAGGCAGAAAACTCATTGGCCTGCTGGCGAAACTCCAAAGTCGGGGAGGAAAAACCAGATTAAAATGTAATTGGGACATGTTTAACAAAATAAATCAAAATACAGTAAAACATAGTTCATGTTAATTTGTGTTTTTGAGCCAATATGTGGCCAGCATTCAATTCTATTTGAAATTGATGCCACCACTGTAGGGTTATAATCTGTAGGGTTATAGCAATAGGGTTATATGGGTCCTGGCCTTGCCTATGCAGATGCACAACCTTACTTGTAAAGGAACTCTGAGTGAAGCTCAGATACTGGACATGGCCAGGGACCATGAGGTAGGTCGATGAGGTAGGTGGGTCAGGAGTTTGGAGGACCTGCTGTTTGGAAGCAGAGGAGAACTGATCCTGGAACAGGAGTAGTGTTGAGGGAGGAAAGGGTTACAGCACAAACTAGGCCCAGGATCAGGGCTCTTTGGCACAGAAAGAATCGGGTCCCTGGTACTGGGCCTGGCCTGGAATCGGGGTTAGCTTGGACCCAGGCACACATTGGTCTTGGGGCTTAAAACAGTAGATAATTCTTTTTTTTCCCTCCATTAACTCTGATTCTTTTTGGAGTCAGAGAACATGGATTCACATCCCTATCTCTGTTGCTTACTATCTGTGTGACCTTCTCTGTAAAATCAAGTCAGTTGTACTCGATCTCTTTTTATTTGAAAACAAATACAACTCTTTAAAACTCATTTTAGCAGAGTATTTATATCAAAATATATCCCAAGATAGCATTTTTTTTGTGTATTTTTTTTGCTTGCTGATTGACACCTTTGTGCAGTTATCCTTTACTAAACTGGCAACATTGTCACCTCATACTTCCTGGTCAGTTTCTTAGCAGGTATGTAAACACAGGGATTTGTGGGGAAATACTTTCTCCACCAATATAGATTGCACATCCTCCATGCCTTTGTCCACAATCTTAATGAGTTGTATAATGGAAAAAATTACCTACTTAGTGACCAACTCATAAGCCTTTTTGAACCTAGTTAGTCTGGTCCTCAGGTGACAGAGACACAGCCCTTCACTAGGTCCATGACTTAAGACTTGCCAGTTTGTTAAGCCCTGACAGAACCTGCCCTCTATTAGCATTGCATTGAGGGTCACCTCCATGCCTCTGTGAAGTGGAACAGTAGAACTTTAGTGGACAAAATAAACGCGGGTACGATGGCATACTGTAGACCAACCCTCTTAAGAGACTGAAAGATTTCTTGTTTTGGCCATAACTTTGGCATTAGTGTGACTTGCCTGCAGAAATTGAGGGCTCTCTCAGTTGGTTAAATGAGAGGAATGGACCAGTTTAAATTGAAAAAAGAGTAGGTCAAATAAACTATTTTATCATTCATTTTATAGTGTGAGTATCATATATAAGGACCAATTCTTAATTGTCATTAACTTCCAGATTGGTAATAGTAATAAGTTACCGATAAGAGAAAAGGTAGAGGGTTGGTTGGTTGTTTTTTATCTTCACAGTTATTGACTCCCAGACACTGTACGGTTCTTGAAGCTTCTTTCTTATTTTGGTATCATACTATATTACAGGGATAAATGAGATAACCTTCTCATAAGATGTTCTTGATTCTTGGAGAATGATGGATTTGACAATTTTCTTTGGTAGTCTCTGGGATCTTTTTAGCTATCTTCCCTCAAATATAGAGTGACTTCTTTAACAGAATGTCTGAACATTCAGTTTCCCTTTCCATTTTTAATGATTTTCCTAACCAAAAAAGTACACTCTTGGGAAATAGCGTTGTGAAATGTAAACTGAAAAAAAGGCATTAGTAAGGGAAGCGGCTTACTTCCAAGTATTGAAGAGCTACCTTAAAAAAAGTTCAAAATTAAGAAAAGTACAAAATTAATTCTTAAGTGATTACTAATAAATATGGAACTAACCTTCCTTTAAGCAATATAATTACTTTAACAAAAGTAGGGTAGCATGTTTTGACTAATTGTCTAATTTATTTATATCAGGGTTTAATGAAGAAATTTATCCGGTGTTCTACACGTGTGACTGTGGGAACTATTAAAAAATTTCTAAGTTTAAAGCTAAAGCTTCCAAGTTCTTATGAGGTAAGTTGAAAAGTCATGTCTTATGACATTTTGCATATATCATTAATCTGATTTGAACTAAAATTATAGTTAAAGAGAAAATTTGATAATATATTCTAAATTTTCTACATTTTAATATTTTTCTGGTTTTTTCCCCGTAGTTGAGTAGGATAATTTTAGAGAATACTGAATTCTGTTTGTATATTTACTAGTTCAAAATTTCCTAGTATAGTCACACAGGAACTTTGAGAAAACATTGTTGGTGTTTGGTAAATAAAAGAATAGTTGTTAGTAAATTTAATCTTAAATAGGCTCCAGATAAATAACTTAGTTTAACTGTTGTAGGTTATCACAAATTTTACACAGATTCCCTTTTGTCTTTGTTAGTTGCAAAGTAAATGAATTTCTGTTCTGAATTTTGGTTTTGGGAACCTGGATTTCAATTTTGTTCCAAAAATAGATTGAAGTTTACTTTGGGACGCATCCTTAGACTTCTTGTGATCTGTAACATTCTCAAACCCCTCTTTTCCTCTGCAGTAAGAAAAGGGGAAGCTTTCCTAACTTCCAGATATGGAGAAATATTGTAAAAAAAACTTTAGTAGAGGACCCTCTAGATCCTCAAGTGCAGCTCTTTGGTTGAGTCCAAACTTCAGAACAAATCCCCCTTAATAAAAGGATTTGTTCTGTAAAACTTGGACTCAGTCAGAAGGCTGTACCCAAGGACCTAGAAGGCCATGTGTGACCTCAAGGCCACAGGTTCCCCATCTGTGCTCTAATAGAATCAACTTTGAGATGATTCTGATTAGGATTGTCATGAAACTCCAGGCAGAAAGGGAACACTCACCGCTGACGTTGACCGTTCCTCTCTTACTCTAGGTTGTTCTGTAGGAAACTGATCCAAGGAGTAGTTTCTCAATCTCAGTATCTTGCCTCAGATCTAGAACCTTGTACCTTGTTGCTGCCATCCAAAAGTAACCTGCAGAAAACATTCCTAATCTTCTTTCAGATCTATTCATTAGTATCAAAGAAAGAATCAATCTTATCCTGTTTTAGTATCATAGAACTTAGAAATAAAAAGGACCTCAGATCATCTAATGCTCAGTCCCCTCATGTGCATGAGGAAATTGTCCCAGAGAAATGAAATCACTGGTCCAAGGTTTATAGCAGTCCTAATATTTTGCACTTTTTTTGCCAACTATAAATATATGTTGTCTTTGTAATAGATATCTACATATCCCAGGGACTTAAGATCAGCATTTCTGTAGTCATTATGTATGGTAATACATCACTTTTTATTACAAATCTCAAACTATGTAGGCTTAATTTGATTTTCCTTAGGCCTTTCAAATAAAGGAAGATTTCACCATACTTGATTATAATGTAACTTTAGTCAAAAGGCTTAGAAAATATGCTTGATGTTTTAGGGGAAGGACAGTGGGGGGATTTTGAGAAGCTGGTGGGGGGATAATGTAACCAGATTGTGACTGCCCACAATGACAATGCTATTGTATCTTCAGGTGCTTCATCTATAACTCATCTCTTCCCTTGTTTGAACAAGTGCCATTATTTTTTATTGATCCCTACTGTGCCCAATTCCCTCAGCTTCTGAAAAATACTGAATGTATTCAAAACACACTGTGATTTCATGCTGTGGCTTGAACTTTACATCAAAATTTATTTACCTCTTCAAGGATGAGGAGGTAGATAAATTATATTTTTGGATGTATAGTTTAAAATTTGAGCCATTTATTAGAAAACAAGATCCTAGAAAGAGGATTTTTTTTTAAATTTTAAAAAGCTATTAAAATAAACATGCAGAATCTTACATTTTAAATGAGAACAGATAATTTTCAATATAGAAATTGATTATTTTCTAAAAAATAGGTTGGTGAATTGATTCTTTAGAATCTACTACACTTCCTCATGAAAACACTTCTTTATGGTGATTAGAAAACCTTTCCTAGGTTTGCCAGGGACCCCCACAAAAAATCTTTGACCCACAATGTACCTAAATTTTAAATACTGTATTAGTATACAGCTTTGAAACTCAGGTACTAGGTATGGCAGAATGTTGAGAATTCTATCTTGGTATGCCAGGAGCCACATCTCTAAATCCCAATACGCTGGCAGTAGAATCATTAACTACCCTTTGCATAACCCCACCCAGTGAACAATGGAACTTGACATTCACATAGCCCCAAGTCACTGGCTCCTGGCTCTTAGAGTGTAAGGAAGACACTTAGGTTGAGCTTCTTTCATAGGAAAACAGTGGTTTTTCCACCTCAAAGGAACAGTGGTGATTGAGCAGGTAGGGAAAATAAGATAAAGGGTAAGGTAAGAAGTAGTGAAAAGGGAGTAAAGTGAAGATTTCAGACAAATGCTTCAGTGGGTGAAGAAAAGGGATGATGTGGGAGGGGTGATGCAAAAGGGTAATTAAAGGCAGCAGTGGGTTCTGTATTTTTTTTTTCCTTTCACCTTGAGTGCTTTAGATCTGTCCTGGGGCCAGAAGCTAGAGAGAAATGGAGCCCCTAATGCCTAGCCCAAGAGATCTCATGGTAATAGCTGGACAGGACATTACCTCTTCTTCCTCTTTCCTTTTACTTCTAGTCTGGTCCAGTGGACCCTCTTATTGACTAGCCCTGCTGTGAGTTGAGTAGAAGGGACTTGGGTTCCTGATGACTCTAGAATTATAAAGCTAGAAAATACCTTTGGATCATATCTTGTAGTGGGGTGGGGAACCTGCGGCCTCGACCCCTGGCTGTAGCCCTTTTATTTAATAAATGAGGACACTGAAGTATAAGATGAGTTTAAGTAAGACTGTGGTATAACTCAACTACTTATGTTAATTTATCTAGGGATAATTCTAGAATTTTACCAGAAATCTCTAAAATTCCACAAAGTATTAGATTTCTGTATGCTTTTTCCAGATCAAAACTTATGAGAAATAAATGCCCTATCAAAGCTTAGGTAGCTAAAGAGCCCTAAGTAATGAACCTAGAAATCACCAGAGGTACCTGTTTGTGCTAATTAAAGATTAATCACAAAAAGATGCTAGAGACAGCACCAAGATTTCGTGACAAAAAGGAAATTACAGAGGTAAGTTGTATGGCCAAATACTATGAATAAATAAACTGAAGATCCAGATACAAGAGGGCCAGATAAACAAACTATACTATACAGTGACTTGACATAACTTCTATTTAACTGAGATGATAATATCATAGTATAGACTTGAATGTTTTTATTGGATATTTCCAAAAGTCTTAAGTTTTTTTCTCTGAAAATGGGGAGTCATTGTTAATGATGTATTCAAAATAAAATATTAATGGATGTGTTAACCTTTTTTTTTTTTTTAAGCTGGATGTACTATGCAATGGTGAAATTATGGGGAAGGACCACACTATGGAATTCATCTATATGACAAGATGGCGACTAAGAGGCGAAAATGTAAATAGCTTTTTGTTCATATTTATATGTTTGTTACTTCCACACTTCACAATGTACAATTCATACTACTGAGATTTTACCCAGGGCTTATAATTTGTTAGAATATAAAAGAATACGAGTTCACCACTGTTTCTTGTTGCATATATAATTGGAAAAAGAGGCTGGTTCCGAGAAGATATCTAGTAGTTTTATATTCAGGTTTTGCAAAACTAATTCAAGGGCAAAATTTATTACTTTGCATATATAGTCAGGGCTTAAGAAAATTGGTACCATGTGAGTTGAAGGTAAGAGCTAGCTAGTGTGATACTATTTTGTGTGTAATCAAGGGGGATAGCCTTAGTTGTGTCACATACATTCATAATTCCAGTAACAGCCTCAAAACAAAACAAAAAAAATACTTTTCTCTCATTTGGACATTTATTAAACTCCTTCCATGCTCTAAGGCCCTAGTGTTCAGTGCTAGGTGTAAAAAGATGAAAAATGGTGGTCCCAACCTCAAAAAGCTTCAGTATACAAACTAGAGAGTGATACTGTCACAGGCAGGAGTGAAATGTTCTAGAGAGATTAGAGGAGGGAGGGAATGCTTTTCAGACTTAAGACTTTTAAAAATCTATACTATGGAAAATTGATAGGGAAAAACCAGAACCTCCTGCCCTTGCTTAGAGGTTTGGAATGCACACCGTTGGGTAATTAACTGAATAAGATGTTGTATCAGAAAATCTGGCAGCAGCATCTTCTGTCTCATCTATTATTCCAGTTTTAGAGGTGGCAGTCTGTTTTTGGCTCAGAGTAGTCAGGAGGAGCAGAGCAAAGCAGAACTTTTCTGATTATTTAGCACATTGTACACATTGTATAAACACTATACACGTCAACCTACTTTTTTATGTTTTATCAAAGTAAGATTGCAGTATCTAACTTATTCGTGTTTTGAAATAATTCATTTACAATGATTTGCAAAACTAGTTTGGAGTGCTATTTGAACAAAGATAGTTGTAGGTAGGGTTCAATTAATTTTAAAATGATTGCAGATTACAGTGTATAGCACACAGTAAACGTGAATAGCCAGTGTGATTATGGAATGGAATAGTCTGATGAATAGAAGTATTTAGGATTTAAATGATCAGTTTTCACGGAATTAGGAAACAAGTTTGAGAAGCAGCCTGGATTAGTGCTGTTTCCCAGACAGCACCAGAGAGCAGGTGCTGGTCTGCATTGGTTAGGAGGAATTCCTCATCAGGAACTTCCGATAGTAATGAAATCAGGTCAAGTCAAAAAGTTAATCTGATGTAAAACGGCTCTCAATTCACATTCACCTTCGATGATTCAGAAGGCCACTACCGTATCTTAACAGTGGTGCCTCAGGATCATTATGTGAAGCTTCCTTTATTGTATTAGTGAAATGTGGAAGCACTATGATAAATATAAATTTTCCTTTATAGGATGCCAAAGTCAGCCTTTAAAGAAATTACACTTTGAATTACACCAATTTAATTATATGTAGCAGATTTTTAAAATAAGCTTATGAGTTTTCTTATGGACTTTCTGATAAAATTCTCAGATATTTGGGTATGTTTATTTCCTTTAAAGAACTTTTCACAAATTATTAAGTCTGAAAATTCCAACTTAGAGTCATAAAGCAGTGGAGAGCTGGGCTTAGAATCAGGAAAATGTGAGTTCAAACCCTGCTTCAGGTACTCATTATCTGTGTAAACCTGGGGAAGTCACTTACCCACTATTTACTCAGTTTCCTCAAATGTTAAATAGAAATAGCACTGATCTACTCTTGCATTGTTGTGGGGATCAAATGAGATAATAATTTTAAAGCACTTAGCACTGTGCCTGGCACATAGTAAACACTATATAAATGTTAGTGTTGTTAAAGATTAAAAGATAAAATCGTTAAAAGATACTAAGCTGGGGGCAGCTAGGTGGCATAGTGGATAAAGTGCTGACCCTGGATTCAGGAAGACCTGAGTTCAAATCTGGCCTCAGACACTTGACACTTACTAGATGTTTGACCTGGGCAAGTCACTTCACCCCATTGCCTCACCAATTAAAAAAAAAAAAAAAAGGTACTAAGCTGGACCTATTGCATACAGTATAATGTGCATACAATATAACCTCAAATTCACAAGCCACACCCAGAAATCAGTCTCAGGACTTCATAGTGAGTGAGTGTACATATTTGACAGCAACATTGTAAAATGCTGTGCAGCTTTTGTGCACAATTATATGTATCCAGGTTTACATATTGCTACCTAATTCATTCTCACTTCTACCTAATTCAGACAGTGAGATGCAGTAAGGTTTTTTTGATGCACTTTTAATTTTTTTTTTTTTTTTTTTTTTTTTAGGCAATTGGGGTTAAGTGACTTGCCCAGGGTCACACAGCTAGTAAGTGTCAAGTGTTTGGTCTGAGACCGGATTTGAACTCAGGTCCTCCTGACTTCAGGGCCGGTGCTCTATCCACTGCAACGCCTAGCTGCCCCGCACTTTTAATTTTTTAAGATAAACTTTTTTTTTCCCCCAATTCACCAGAAATGATAAATTATCAGAGGTGAACATGAGCACAAAAGATGCATTTCCTGGCTAGTGTGTAGTATGAAAGGCATAACAAGTGGCATACAAACTACTATATTAATACGTAGATTTGAATACAAGGACAAATTCAGTTCCCTTTAGCCCTCATAAGCAGACTTAAAGATTGTCTGGCCCAAACCTCCTCTTAGTGGCTTGCATTGTTAGTTAGTGACAGAACTGAGATTGAGTAGAACCTAGGTTTCCTGGTGGCCAATCTAAGATTTTTTTCCACTTTTCATGAAACAGTGTTTTATTAGGTTACTATTACTGGTACAAATTATGAAATTCACCTATAAAAATGAGCAGACATCTTTCTAATTTAAACCCATCCTTCCAAAATTTGATTTCTTGAGATTTGTCCCATTATTACAGTGGCACAAACTGTTTTGTATGAATCTGTGATATTAATGCAGTGTATAAGTGCAGTGTCTTTGAATCTCTGTTGCTATGGTAACTCTTTTCTTGATATGCATTTTTCAGCCTTCTGTAAGGCTAAATTTCTTAACCTTGTATTAGTATTGGTTTTTACATTTAATTTCTACTTCCTTGAAAAAAAATAATAAAATTAGCTTATAGAATGCAAAGGTTAATAGTATGACATATTTTATCATAAATCATAGTTTCTTAGAACTAGAAGGAACAGGCTAACCTCTCACTCACTGTAAGAAACTTAAAAAATGTAATCAAGGTTGACCCATTCTACCAGATAATCAGGAGAAATTTTTTCTGAGGATTTAGGGCTTGAGAATTTTTGTGCTTTGCCCCAAGAGAAAAGTTTATATGCAAAAGTGATAAACAGAACATATAGGTCAGTTTCATCTTTGTAGTAAAATACTCATGAAATGGAAATACCACTCACTAATCTTTTCACCAGTGTGAGGTGGGTAATATATTTTATTGCAAGGCTTTTACCTCTGAGATAGTGTCACAGAAACACTTTGTTGGGTAACCCAAAATAAAAAAATTGCTAAGTTCCTGGTTATAAAAAAGGTTCATCCAGAGCCTCTGAAGAAACATTGCGGAAATTGGAGTCTTAAATTGTTCCATTCCAGAGTTCTGTCCTCCCTATTAGTGATTTTGTTAGGATTATAATTTGAATAATAGGTAAGACAAAGCTAAGCCCCTCTCTTTTCTCTTCCTCTGTGTGTTTATTCTGTCATCTCTAAAGATCCTGCCTCTTTTATGCAGCCTTCCATTAACACATTCTTACTGATTGATTTCATACCAAAATTTAAGTTTCTGTAAGTTTACAGTATGTACATAAGAAAGCAGAAGGCTTCAGAAATTCTTGAGAAACTACCGATAATTAGGTGAAGAGTCATAACGTTTGGTAAGTCACCCTTTTAACTTCTCATCCCTCTCCCAATGCACGTCTCAGCTCAGATTATGTCTTGGACTACAGTATTCAGTTTGGGCACTACGTTTTCAGGAATGAATGACATTGTCAAACTGGAACATGTCCAGAGAATGATAGCTAATATGGTGAGAAGATTCGGAACCATATTACGTTAAGATTGATTGGAGAGGGGGCAGCTAGGTGGCACAGTGGATAGAGCAGTGGCCCTAGAGTTAGGAGGACCTGAGTTCAAATCCAACCTCAGTCACTTGACACTTAATAGCTGTGTGACCCTAGGCAAAAAAATATATATATATTGGGTGAAGAAATTGATAGTATTCAGCCTGGAGAAGAGAAAACTTGTAAGGAAGAATATACTCTTCAAATATTTAAAGTGCTGCTATTTGTTGAGTGATTTAACTAACTTTGCTTGTCTCCAAAGAGGAAAACGAGGCTTAATGGAGGGAAATTACAGGGCAACAGACCTTGACTCAACACAAAAAAGGATTTAGCTGTGCAGAATCAGATGAATTGCTTTATGAGGTAGTGAGTGCCACCATTTTGGACAAGTACATACAGAGGCTAGATGACTACTTGTCAAAAATGTTGTTGAGGGAAATCATTGATTGAGTGATGGGTTGGACTTTTTTATGTAAAGTAGTTGCTGTCTCTTGGCAACTCCAGGTCTGCATGTAAACATGTATTTTCATAAGAAAACCTTTCCAGTTATCCCCATGGTGATCTTCATATGCTATGCTGGATTCCTCATTAACCTTTAGTTTAGTTTTATTTTTTGTCTCAGCCTGTCATTGTTTCAGGGAGCTCACTCACAGAAAGGAAACTCCCTCTACTGATGCAGAGCAGCAATTGCTCTGCAACTCAGAGTCTTAATTACCCAGCACAATCAAAGGCTAAATAACTGCCTCAGCGTTCCCTAGCTGATGTATGGCAGAACCTGGAGCCCAGGTCTTCTAACTCTGAGGCTGGCTCTCTGTCCCCTGCATAAGCTTGCCTTTTTGTTATATCCCATCAGGAGCAAATTCCTGGCTCTTGCAGTCCTTCATGATTGTATTTAACACATGTA